ACTCAAAGCACTTGTCTACAATAAATACTTTTGTATTACCCTCAGCTTTATTTTCAACCTTGGTTGTTAGTACTAAACTCTCTTCTCTCTTATTTATCTATTTGTAATTTTTCTATTAATTATGAAAATATTAATTATGTTTTACCTAATAATTAATATTTCATCTATTTGAGATGTGAGTATTTCTTTTTCTTCTTTTATTCTTTTTCAAACTTCATCAACTTATTTGTTTCTTCATTTAACTTGTTATTTTGAATTTATTGTGTATTAAATCTCATCATTCTTTATTGTCTTATTTTGAACATATTAATATCACTATGATTATCATATTTCATCATCATTCATTTTTCTTTCATTTTTCATGTTAACACTTTATATTTTCATCACATTACATTCTTTATCAAATATACTTACATTTAATTCACTAATTAATTATACTCCAACATAATATATAGTAATAAATATCAGTCAATTGTCCTTGAGTATGTTTTGCTCCACCAAAGAAAGCATTATAACAAAATAATAATTGATGATTTAAGATTTTGATTTATTTTAATGTTTGTATAACATTTCTGACTTTTCACATCAAAACTAAAAAAATCAATTATGATTAACATCATCTTTAGATTTTTCATTACATTGAGAAGTGAGTGAATCACTTTCTTCAACATGCTTTATTTGTATTGAAATATTGTTTTTTCTAGCATGTTTGACTTAACTGATTCTTCATTTAAGTTGCTGTCTGACTTTTATTTTGGTTTTAATGAGTAATATAATATTTCTCATTCTTTATATTGTTGTTTTAAGGAGAGTATATCCATATCACTATGACTATGTTTCATCTAATTTATCTTCATTACCATTTAAATAATCTTTCTTTCTTGATAATATCATTATACTCAATTTACATACAACAATAACAATTATATATGCATCATTCTTAATAAATTATAATCCATTTTAGTAAACAATACTTCTTAATGAATAATAACCAATTACTCTTGAATGGATATTATCTCACCGAAGACACATCATGAACAGATGATAACTTGGAGATTTGAAATATGAGAGTATTATAAGGTTTTGTGTGATGTTTTAGAGATTCAATCTTCTAATCTTCACATTAAAACGAAATAAATATAAAGAAAGAAAAGAAGCAATAATAAAAAAGAAGGTAAAGAGCAAGAATTGAAAGAAAAAGAGTAAAGTCACAAATGAGATTAAATGATAAGTAAATCACATTTGTTTTTTTTTCTTCAAATAAAGAATTATTAACCTTATTTCTTCAATTCATCCTTTTTACGTGTCAATGTATTAAGTATTTAAAAGATAATCATCGTTCGAACTCAAAGTTATAAAAACCAAATTAATCATGACTTAAATGTTATTCATTTAAAAAAACTGTTAAAGTGTTTCAATATTTTTTCAACTTCTTCTTCTTTTTTAGATAAATCAACATCTACACTTAAATCACCTTTAACATCAGTTCCAACAACACTGGCAGTTAATTTCATCATCCCATTTTGGTCATATTGAATTGTAAATTCAATTGTTTGTCTTCCATTTTTTCCCTCAGGAATTCCATCAATACGAAGTGTAGTGATAAAGTCATCTGAACTAACATATGTACTAAATCCTTTATAAATATTAAATTTAGCAAATTTCTGGTTAGTAATGGTTGTAGAATATCTTTTCTTAATTACTTTTGTAGGAAGAGTTTCTCCATCGTTAATAAGTTTTTGAAACATTCCTCCTTCTACTTCTATTCCAATTGGTGTTGGAACAATATCATATATAAATTTACTACAGATGCTATTCATACCTTTTGAATATGCTAAATATGCAGCTCCTTTTACAACAGCAGTAAGTGGATTAAAATTCTTATCAGCAAATGTTTTTATATCAAATGACTTCCCAACTTCTTCTCTAATTCTTGGCATTTCACAAGTTCCACCAATTAATAATACTAATTGAACATTTCCTTTTTTATATCCTTTTCTTTGAGTGACTTGTTTTATTTTATCAATAAATCTTTTATATAATCCTCTTTTTTCACATTCTTCCTCAAATTCTTGTCTTTTAATGATAAATTCAATGCCATTGTCTTCATAATCTTCATAATATTCACCAAGTAATGTTTCTAAATCTAATTCAGCATCTGGTTTCCCACTTAATTCAATTTTAATTCGTTCTGCCTCTTTCTTTAATCTAATTAATTTCTTATTAAGAATTATCTTTTCTTTTTGAGTCATTCCTCGTTTCTTTTCATAATATCCTTTCACACTTTCTTCGACCTTTTCTTTAATAATGTCAATCATCACTTTGTCAAAATCATTTCCTCCCAAATTTTGATCTCCTCCACTCGATTCTACTTTAATATAATTATCATTTATTATTTTACAACATGCCACATCTAATGTTCCTCCTCCAAAATCAATTACTAAAACTCTATTTCCTTCTTTTAATGAATTTGGATATTCTCTTTTATATGCAACAATAGCAGCTGTAGGTTCATTAGCAAGTTCAACATTCTCAACTCCTGCTAATTGACATGCTAACAATGTTGCATTTCTTTGTGTATCATTAAAATCAACTGGAACAGTAACAACAACATTTGATATTGTATTATTGCCAATTCTTCTTTTTACAATATCATAAATATATTTTAATATCATTCCACTTATTTCTTCTGGTTCAAATTCTTCAACATCTTGAGTCTTTGGATTATAACATTCAATACACACACTTCCATTATCTCTACATTTTACTTCAAATGGATAATTATCACAGTGTTCATAATTCACATCACATTCATTTCTTCCTATTATTCTTTTTGAGTCATAAATAACACAAGTCTGTTGTGTGTTATTCCTAGCAGCATTCCCTACAACAACATTACCACTTTTATCTAATTGTGAAAGACTAACCCATGAAGCTACTTGTTCTTTTCCTAGTTCATCTTGAAGTATGACAGGTTCACCTTTAACAACATCAAAATATGCAACAGAAGAATATGTAGTTCCTAAGTCAATGCCAATAGATGACTTATTTTCTTCAGCCATGAAATGGTGTTTTTAAGTTCATTTTCAGTACTATTATAAATAGTCTGATTTTAAAATTTCATTAATCAAACATCATTTAATTCTTTAATAATTATGAAATTTAACCAATAAAAATTGACCTGATTTTTTAGGTTATTTTCTAATAAATGTTTGTGTATTATTTTATTTTTTGTAACATGAAGAATGTTTTATTTCTTTTTTTTCTTACTCCATTTTTATTTTACTTATGTATTTGTTCTAATAATTTTTATAAAATCAATCACTGAGTAATAATACCTCATAAAAAATTATATTATTTCTTTCTAAATTATCTCTTTAGTATTTTTAATGAAATAGTCAATTAAATGTTAATAGATTTTTCATATATTCTTTCTTGTTCATTAAAGATTAATCCCTGAGCTGTTTAAAAAAGAGTAATCTTTTTCTTTAACTTATCATTTATGTTTTTCTTGCAAATTGAGAAAATCACTTCTTTGTTTTATTTTTTCTTAATAATGTCTTCTCATCCTTCTTCTGCTTATTTCTTCTTTTTAACCTTTTGTTTATTTTCTGTCTTAATTTTAAACATTTTCTTTTTCCTTTTTTCTTTATTTTATGAATGAGAGAAGAGAGTATTTCATTCCCACTATATTATTATGTTTAATTTTCTTTTAGTCTTACCCACACTTTAGTACTTCCTTATATTACACCATGTAATATTCTACTACATTCTCTTGCTACACCCTTTGCAGTTTTACCTAATACATTTCTAATTCAAATACACCGTCATAACCAGATAATAACAGGGAGTGTCTATGCTTGAATTGTA